TCCATCTTCTGAAGTCACCTACTGTTTGCTGCCACTTAGCTAACAGGAGATGTAATCTGCTTAATAGTATGTTGATTTTTTTTTTTTTTTTTGCTTCAGAAGCAGAAAGGCCTTAAAGTGTACTAGAAAGTACGCATGGACCGGGTGCGGTGGTTCATGCCTGTAATCCCAGCACTTTGGGAGGCTGAGGTTGGGGAGAGGGTCACTTGAAGTTAGGAGTTGGAGACCAGTATCGAACTGGCCGATATGGTGAGACCCCGTCTCTACTAAAAATACAAAATTAGCCAGGCATGGTGGCGCATGCCTGTAATCCCAGCTACTCTGGTGGCTGAGGCAGGAGAATTGCTTGAACTGGGAGGTGGAGGTTGCAGTGAGCAGAGGTCATGCCACTGCACTCCAGCCTGGGAAGCAGAGCAAGTGAGACTCTGTCTCCAAACAATCAAACAAGCAAACAAACCAAAAGTCGAAAGTACATATGAAGGTGACCCTTAATTCTGGGTTAAGGGACATGTTAGGGAGTTGGGGTTCTGTCCACAGGTTGAAAAGAGCAGAGAGAAAGGTTAGCCTATTAACTCAGTTTTCCCACCTTGGCAAAGAAAGTTTGTATTAGACGTGCACTGTTTGTCTCTCACACAATCAAAAAGGGAGTAGAATTCTGGCAAGTTTTCTATCTGGGCTCCTGTGGTAGTTCTGCCCTAGCAGGTCTGAACTAGAAGCTGGGAGGGGTGTGGATTGGTGCAGTAAGGAGGGACGTATGCAGGGAGCCATCTTTTATCAGACCCGCCACTTCCTCTACAACTTCCAACACCTAAAGATAATGGCACTGGTTCTGCAGCAAGGGTGGGAGTGCTTTTACACAATAGTATCTGGGAAAATATTTACTTCTGGCCTTCTGGCAAAGGATTGGCCTTTTTATATTGTTCCGAAGTTAACTTCAGAGGAGGTCCTCCCCTGAAAAGTCACAATGAAGGAACTCACGGCAGATGGTGGGTAGGACTGATTTTTCATTCGTTGTCTTTAGTTTTTTTCTTCTGTGTTTTGGTCTGAATTGCTATTGATTGTTTCCATTTCAAGCTAACCCACGCAGCACAATAATGTCGTCGGTAACTTCTAATGATGTCTACCCTGCAGATGGAACCAGTTATAGCAGTCAGGTTTTTTTTTTTTTTTTTTTTTTGAGATGGAGTTTGGCTCTTGTGGCCCAGGCAGGGGTGCAATAGCACGATTTCAGCTCACTGCAATCCCTGTCTCCCAGGCTCAAGTGATTCTCCTATCTCAGCCTCCTGAGTAGCTGGGATTACAGTCACCTGCCACTACATCCAGCTAATTTTTGGTATTGTTAGTAGAGATGGGGTTTCACCATGTTGGCCAGGCTGGTCTCGGACTCCTGAGCTCAGGTGATTCACCTGCCTCGGCCTCCCAAAGTGCTGGGATTACAGACATGAGCCACTGTGCCCAGCCGCAGTCAGGTTTTAAAGGGACTTTGTTTTGTAGAAGCCAGAATAGAGGAGTTGTCACACGTAGAGATCCGTTCACATAAGTGGGTCAAAGGTTTAATAAGCTAGAATATTATCAAAATTCCATTGGCTCTATCAAAGTAAATGTCAAGGAAGTGGATTGTACCACACTCCACTTTCTACCTGATTTATAGCTTCTAAGTGGCTGTTTGTATCAGAAGACAAATCACAATTTTGTCATCTTTATGAATTAATTGCTTGAAGGAGAATGATTTAATGCAGAAAGGTAAGTTAGTTAAGATAAGGAGAGTTTAGTAAGCGTCATGACAAAAACATGGGGTGAGATTAAGCCAAATACATACACAGCTGACATAGATCTTAAAAATAGTTTCCCCTAAATAAAACAAATAAAAAACTTTTAAAAATCAAAGTCCCATTTTTTAATGGGAAAAAACAATTGGTCATATGAATTAGGGAAGAAGTCTGATAGATACATGCATTATACACAGGATGTTATGATGAGAGACATGTCATTTAGTGAGTCTAGAGCATTGATAGTGGATTTTCATGTAAATATCCTAGCCCACTGCATTGTCTAGAATGAAGAGAAATTCCAAGAAGAGAAGTATGATGCAATCATTTTTTAAAGAATTACAAAGGAACCCTAAGGTATCGATCAAAAGATTTAAAAAATTGATGCAAGCATCAGTTTTTGGGATCAATCTTTGTTTACATGCTGATGAGCCCATCACGTTTTGGGTGTTACGAGGGGTTCAAGAGCTCATTTTACTCATCTTTGGTCTACACAGGTTTGCCTGCTCAGCATGTGGGAATCAAAAGACACCTTCTGGGTCCTAATAAAAATGTCTATCCCTGATTGGGTGCGCTGGCTCACACCTGTAATCCTAGCACTTGGAGGTCGAGGCAGGTGGATCACTTGAGGTCAAGAGTTCAAATCCAGCCTGGCCAACATGGTGAAACCCCATCTCTACTAAAAATACAAAAAATTAGCCGGTCGTGGGGGCAAGCTCCTGAAATCCCAGCTACTTCAGGAGGCTGAGGCAGGAGAATCGCTTGAACCTGGAAGGTAGAGGTTGCAGTGAGCCAAGATCACGCCACTGCACTCTAGCCTTTGTGACAGAGTGAGACTCTGTCTCAAAATAAATAAATAAATAAATAAGCCCTATAGATTAGCCCCTGGATTATGTTTTCTCTATCTGAAGGCTTTTCTTCTGCAGAGATTTCTGATTTCTCAGGTATTTCCCAATAGTTAATTGGCATATGATTGGTGTCAAAATAGGCAGAATAAAAGCTTGGGGGTTGGAGACGTGAGTTGAAATCTCAGCAACATCTCTCACTAGCTGCATCGCCTTCGATGACAACTCTCTTTCCCTTTTGTTGCAAGATTGTTAGTAATTCTACTCTTATAAACTGTGGCTAAAATACTCTCTTTAGAAACACAATGCTAAAGAAAGCGAGTGTCTCCACAATCCGAGGCTCTCATTCCAACGGGATTCTCGTCATTATTCTCCATATAACTGAAATGAAAACCAATCTTTCACAGACTGTTACTATGAAGGCTCTTTCTGCCTTCTCATAACCTGTATGCTGTTGTTTAATTCTCATGGAGAATGACAAGTTCCACTGAAGTATGTGCATGTCATCTCCAAGAAAGAGATGCAAGGATTAAAGTGAAGGGGTGGTAGGCACAAAGCCCAAGAATGACCATAATTAGGCCAAGGAACTTCCACTTCCAAGCCATGGCTGACTGCATCCTCTTCATGACCCTGTAAATGCTCTGGACCACAGAATGTCTTTTCAAAAAAGTGCCGTCTATACTCTTCCAAACCTTTCTAGGTGAGATTTAATTGCAATGAACGATCATTCATGCTTATTGCTTAAGCCATGTTAATTTTTAATGCTTTTAAAAATACGCTGTGTAGTTCAAAAAATATTAATTTTTATTAGACATATATGATTCCTGTGAAAGAAACATTTATTTCACGGATGAAATATCTCAGTTCAGTCAAATAAAACAATAATTGGGGGAAAATATTTAAATCAATTGATCGGTTGGTCATATTTTGTAAAATTTCTTCTCCACGTAACCATTTGGATAAGGAAGTGGCAAAGCTTTTCCCAAAGCTATTTATCAACTACCCAACAAAGTAGTTTTCAGTTGAAAATCAACTCGTACTTAATGGATATTTCCAACATTGACATATTCTTATGGTTTATTAATCTTCCATACTTTCAGACAATGTTTCTTTCCATAGTCAATATTTCATATTGCATGAATGTGTGCAGCAAATTCAGGAAGAATGTAACACAACAGAAAACTTTTCTTCTTCAATCTCATACGAGTTTTATATAAAAATGCCTGCTATTACAGAGTAGTGAGAACAGCAGTTTCTTTTCTGGACATCTACGTTGATCTGAATGGTAAGAGTTCTAGCATGAAATAGCAAAACAGAGAGGGAGAGGGCATGTCCAGCGTTTCAGTGAGCAGAGGTTCAAGTCGTAAACTGAGGATGAAGATATGAAGATGTAATGACTGCCACAAAAAGTTGCAAGGGAAAGAAAGTGTATATATATAAATAAATATACACATTATATATGTATATATGTAATCTTTTTCTATATTTATGTAGCTGTAAATGTAGCTCTCTTTCTCTCTCTCGTACTTCTTGTTCTTTCTTGCACTAAAGACTAAAGAGGCAATGGTTGGTTTCTATGGTACAGGTTGTAAAATAGTGAAACAACCATGAAGTGCTCAAACATGCCATTCAAAAATACGTCATCTCTTGCCCAGAGTAACTTCAGTTTGTACCTTCACTTCCAGCAATTTTAAAGTCAGTGTAATAAAATATGAAGCTTGTGTTTTTTTCTTCAGTGAGAAAATATTTTCTGTGGAGTCTAAAAAAAACAAAAATACACCTGGAAAAAAAAAGATAAGCATTCCTTAAAAGAAAAGAAAATTCCCCTTCCATATATGTATCTACAGGTAAATGTTTTACTTTTTTTTTTTTTTTTTTTTTTGAGACAGAGTCTTGTTCTGTCACCAGGCACCAGGCTGGAGTGCAGTGGCACTATCTCGGCTCACTGCAATCTCCACCTCCTGGGTTCAAGCAATTCTCCTGCCTCAGCCTCCTGAGTAGCTGGGACTACAGGTGCACACCACCACGCCCAGCTAATTTTTGTATTGTTTAGTAGAGACGGGGTTTCACCGTGTTGGCCAGGACAGTCTTGATCTCTTGAGTAAATGTTTTCCTTCACATGTACTTTCAGAGTAAAGACTATGTGTGTAGCTATAGTTTACAAACATGCCTATACTCCTCCAAACACGTGATCAGGAAGTATTTGGATTATGGGAGCACCACGAGGGTTGTCAGAGAAAGTTCTTTTGCATGTGAAAAAGAAAGAGAAGTCAATGCAAACAGCAGTCTGTTCAGAATTGTCCTTTCGATGAATTCTACCCTTTTATACAATAAAGAGCTGCTGCCGCGTTATAGACCCTGGATTAAATAAAAGCAAACCACACTCTTTGTTCAATAATAGTTTTATTTACTTATTTCACTGTTAACTTGGGGATAATATTCACCACAAAGTTGCAGGCATCATTTTATAGTACAGAGTACAGACGATTGACTTTTTCAGAATTAAAATGAAAATGGTTTGTGACACACCTGAAATGCCTACTGAGGAAGTGCTGGCCACGAGGTAATAAAAAAAGGTAAAATTCAGTGCCTTTGGCAAAGATGTGGACACTGTTGTAGATGCGAGTATGATACATGCCCTTTGCTTACAAAGCAAATATACACCCATCTGGTTTGGACTGTGGTTTCTCTATCCACCAGAGAGCATCTTTAAATGATTCATAGACATTTCCCTGAGAGCTTCCCGCCAAGAGAAATTAGCATGCTGATTCACCAACGTGGAAGCCCATTTTAATGTAATTATTCCTCAAGCCTGCACCAAACTTGGTAACAATTCCTATATTTAAAGAAAGAAGGACCTTGCTCAAACTGTGGCCATCATATAGCTCTAAGCGATGCCCAAAGGAAGTCTGAAGTGTTATATGGAGGAGGCTGGAAATGCCCGGGTACCAGACGAGGAATGGATGGAAGGGAGAGCATGTGTTTGATTGCTTGCAGAACAGGATAAAGGATTCTCTCCTAATAACTTTCCATAGCAAGCAAAACTACATGCAAGGATTTGTAAGCCAAACTACAGATCTTCACTTGTACAGAAAACTATATTTATGAACTCTCCACGTTCTCCAGATGCTTCTCTTGCTACAGCAAGCAACCAAGAAGCCTGTTTCAAAAGAATTATCCTTTCAATGAATTTTTACTCTTTTATACGATCAAAAGTTTATCTTTGTTGTACAATCCGGTAAAGTTTCTGACTTTACTGGATTGGTCAACAAATCCAATAACTAGTATCAAACAAATCCAGTATCTAGAACAAATCCAGTATCTAGAACTAGGGATAAAAAGACAGTTAATTTTCTTTTTCCTTTTTGGACTCTAAATTATTTGTTTACGACTCAAGTCTATTTAATATTTCTCCTTATTGCTCAGGGATATTTTATTAGATAACCTTATTTGTGAACACTTTGCATTTCCCAGCCAAATAACTCCTGACTACAGTAGCAGCATGGGACATTGATGTACACAAAATTTTGATAATATGTTACATTAATTAATAAGGTTATTAGATATTCAACAACATTTATTGAATATATGCAATTTACCAGATTCTGTGTGAGCCACAGGATACAGAGGGATGAAAGTGATGAATAAGACCCAATTTTCTATCATCAAGGAACTCACAGAATACAGGACAAAAATAGTTATGAGTTTTGTATGTGAAATGCAGAACTGCTAAGCATTTTGGATTTCAAGAAAGAACAGTAGTAAGCTTTTACATTCTGGGGATAATCTTTTTGGTTTAAGTTAGGATTACTGGATTATAATTTGGGTGAGGGAATTTTACTAACACGTCTTTGTCGTGAAAAATATGGCCCCTTTACCTGTTATGTAAAATGCAACTGAGACGTGAGCCTTTTTGGTTCTCTAGATGATTTTTTGGGGGGTGGTCTCAGCCCAGACCAAAGTTGTATGTGTGAGTCTCACCAGAGTTCTGTGTGAGTCTCTGTGGCTCTACCAGAACCAACAGAAGCCTAATGTTCTAGCTACACATTTGGATGACTTCCATATACCTAAAAGCACTGCCCATCTGTGCGTGACGCTGTGAATGTAATGCATGCCTATTAATACTAACACTTGCTCATTTTTTGAGCCATACAACAAAACATTGTGCAGTTACAAACTTATGTGGAGTATAGTCATTTTATGAACTAGATCTTCTTTATCCGTTTTTATTATCTTATCATGTGCCTCCTTTCCCAGACATGAACGCTAAAGCCAGAAAAAGAAAATGAAATTCTCCAGTACTAAGGAGCACTGGGTTACCATTCTAGAACTCTTCTTCTTAGGTCTGAGTACTGACTCACACAACATTAATGCTGGGAGAGGCTGAATATTTAAAGTCAGGGAAAGAGAAAAAGAGAGTGTAACTGAAGTCTGTAGAAAGGAAGTAGTCAGATTGTCCCTGAACCTATTAAGGGCTGGAGTTGATACTGTTTAAATAAGTTCATTGCACGTAGCATGGGAGCAAAATATTCTTTCAGAGGATGTGCTAGAAGTAGGGTCGTTTAGGTTAAAAAGTAACTTCGGAGTGTTGTATTCTATGCAGTTTCAGTCCCATTATGAGAAATGCTATTGTAAAACCAAAGCACACACCTGCTACCCAGAAGCTGTATTTTGTAAAGTTGCCAGACCTCAGGCACTGGGTTGGAGTAGTATTTGAAACCATACAACTCTGGGTTTACCAAAAAATTTCAAGGCTTCCTTAGATTTTGTGGTGTTGAACTATAGTAAGTAAATAACCTTCAAGAATATAAAATCTGAAAATTTCAAGCATTCATCCAATAGACCATTTTACTTTGATCACGGTAGTTACTGACCTCAGTTTGGACCGATTTGCCATCAGAAGGCAGATTAAAGAAGCTTTGGTGGTGTTGCTTAGTTTGAGCAATGAGGAGAAAACCCAGAAAGTTTAGGTTAAGTGACAAGCATGCCCAAGGACATGTAACTAAGCAGCGACCAAACTGGGCCAGGAACTCAGCGTTCCTCATCCTAAATTCAATGCTGCTTTGACTATACTGTGCTACCTTCCCCTGTCCTCTGAAGCTCCCAGGGGAAGACTGTGCAATTTCCTGGAATAGGTCCCCATCTTTGAATCATCTCTACTCAGATAAGTACAGCACACCCTGACGGATCCCTGGAATCCTTCTCTGTGTCACTCCAGTATTAGGCTTCTGTGCTGTGGCAGAGCCTTGGCATCCTTCTTTCCTCCCTGAGTCGGGGCTGAAACAGCCAACTTGGCAGCAGAGCTCTGCACTCCAGCTTCCCTCTCGATACGGAAAAGGGCTCCCCATGCTCTGCAGAGCCATGAGCTCTGGCCATGGGCAACACGGGAAGTCTGACAGAGGAAGCTGCTATGCTTTCTAGATCTTCAGCCACTGCAGACTCTAACACTTAGGCTTTTTGTTTTTGCTTTCATTCTGTCAGAATCTACAACGATTGTACACTGAAGGGTAAAGATAAATGAAAAACACGTAGAGACTCAAGGCTGGGTTTAAGAGACAAAGGGGGATTAGAAGAATAGAGAGAACTGTGATAGAGGCCACAGGGAGCTGATGGGCAAAGAAGGGCAGAGCTGAGGGAACCAGGGGGCCAGAGAGAGCTCACTTCTCTTAACTATCGGGCAATGCCTGGAGAAGGGGGAATGTGTGTGTGTGCTTGTGAGAGAGAGAGAGAGAGAGAGAGAGAGAAGGAAGGAGAAGGAGAAAGAGAGAGAGGCAGAGAGAGAGAAAGAGGAGAAAGAGATTCTCCCATGTGTAGTTTATTTTAGGTTTGATCATTTTCGTCTTTCAATTAAAGTGGCTAATCTTGAAATGTCTGCAAGCTTCATGCATATGGCATGAAATAATTCCGATTCCCAGTTTGAGATGAAGACATTCTGATCATATGTAAATGCTGAATACCTCCTCTAATGACAAAGGTTTTGAGAAATGCATGTGTAACTGAGGTCCAATTATAAACACTCACTACATCTTCAATTATACTTTTAAATTCTTCATATTCAAAAGAATCTCTTTTACTTGTTTTCTTTCTCCGAAAATGACCCACGAAATGGACATACCTTACTATAAAGTCAGTAGACGGGATTTAAATGCAGCTTTCATCCATAAGAGGTTTAAAAACAATTCTATAATAAAACCAGCAAAACAAAAAAGGAGACCTAGAATCTTCTGTTTGTTCCTTTTCTGCCATTATTAGTGTCACAAAAGGACAAGGATAAGGAAATAATCATGTTTAAGGAGACGGTAATTGACTCTCAAAGTTCTGATAAATTTCACGGTTTCTCCTTTTCTCAAATTTAATTCTATATGTATATATATTTTAATAAAAGAAACAGTCCTTTTGGGAGGGAGGCAAGTTAGGAGTTTCCAAAAGGATGGGAAGTGCTGAAGTGCTGGGACACCTGAATAAGCATTCACATATTTCCTAGTGCCAGACCAACCTGAGTAATAAAATACAGGTGCAATTGCTTACTAGACGTTTCACAGGTGGATAATATGACATTCTGCAATTTGCTGTACATGTTAGAAAATTGTCTTTTTTTCTTGTTCTTTGGTTGAATATGGGCCCCCAAAAATCATTCTTACAATTATGCCGATTGTTTTTTTCCCCTGTGTAAAATAATTTCAGACACAATGGTGAGGGTTGCTTTGTTCAGTTCCCATCAGATTTAACTAAAGAGTGATTTTAAACATTTACGTTGAAGTGACAGGTGACTTTTTATTACCTAGAAAGTGTTAGGTACCTGGCGATGCCAACAGGATGACATGCTGCTGCTTCTTAGCCACAGGAAAACTCAATGTATTCTATTCATTGCTCAAGTGGACTTTAAAGAATCACTTTCAAAGGACACCAGGACTGAAGACGGAAGAGTAATATTTATCAACATTAAATAAACACTTGGTGTAGTATCCATAAATATTTCTGCATATAAACATAACACGAAATTAAATAGTTCAGATACACAGACACCACTGAGTACACATCCACTGTGGTCAAAGTCGCCTGTAAACACCACCTCACACTGAATACAAAAGCAGCTTCTACCCAGCTCTGGGTTCACAGCACGAATGCCCTGTACAAAGGGAATATCTCCACCGCCCTCCCCTCCCTCCCCTCCCCTCCCTCCCCTCCCCCTCCCCAAACAGCCCCGGCAAAAGGAAAAGAAACCCCAACAACCACAGCAGCAACAAGGACAATGATGGCAGCACCCCATCCCCTCCCCAAATAAAACAGTCAACATTTTGGTCAATTTGAAGGAGAATGCAAATTTTTTTTTTTTTTTTTTTACCAAAAGGTAAGAAAATCAATTTGAAGCATTTCTTTTCCAAATGTAATTCTCTCTTCAGAGGACATGTAACTTCCTAAACCTCACCTATTCCTGGGTGAAGTTTACACGATGAACACCAGAAAGCACTGGCCACAGCTGAGCAACAAAGGTGCAAGCCCTATTTTCTTTACAAGGTGCCGTTCAGCAAGAATCAAACACACTGTTCTCCCTCATTCTCTCTTACCACGGTTTCTGTTTTTTCACTTTCACTTTGCCATATATATATATATATATATATATATGGCCTATATATATATTGCTGTGTGTGACATTCAAACGTGACACTATTATTGAGTTTCAAGCAGTTTAGATAGCAGAAATTTTGTTTTGAAACATTCAGATTTAGATGATTGAATTCAAACGTGTGGATGTGGTTCGTTCTTTGAGCTCAGGGGGCCCCGATTTAGCTCTGTTGAGGCATCAACAAAGGAGATTGCTTAACACCGAGCCCGGTGAAGCTGCGGTGCTCAGCGGACTCAGGAGCCCGTCCACACTGCACAGACCTGCTGGGAAGGCCTGGCCGCTCTCTGTGGGAAACAGCCCCACTTTCAAAAATGTTATACTGGGCTGATTTCACGTTTATGCTGCATTGGGATCCTAGAGAACCTCAGTTACCAAAGTACTGAAAGTGTACATTGCAGGAAGAATTTGCCAGTTCAGTGTTTCCCATTATATTATATACACTATGTGTGTGCGTGCAGAACTCACACATATATATACTTAAGTATTTTTATTTGTACAAAACTTGAACTGCACGAAACAGTACTCTGCAAGAATCAAGAATCAAGTCCACAAATAGAGTTTAACGACACACCAAAGAAAAGACAGAAAGCTCTATTGGGACAAGAAGATTCAGCTTTGCAACATATGAAATAATTTTGGAACCACAGATTCGTTAGCCTGCAGTGTTCCACGTGGGGTCTGGATTCCCACTTTTGGGATCCTTGGGAAGAATGTGGGAACTGGGCCAGCTATGCTCATCTGAGATTCCAAAGCTAATGGGCATTAAAAGACCCAGGCAAATCGATTTGGGTATATAATTGCTGTGAAGCAATATTTTTTCTCCTCTTTAAGAAAAAAAACATGTGAAGTCTATTTCAGAACAAATTTCTTTATGTTCAGTCGTGTTTTTGTTTTTTGCTGAATTGGTAATTTTTTCTATTAAAACGGGTTTATTCAATGGATCCGTAAACAGGCAGCTTCTTTCACATCTGGGTGATAACACCACTTTATCATCACCAGAAATCACCCCCACCCTCACCTTTCTCCTCCTAAGGTCTGTGGGTTGATGTGTGCGTTTTGTCACCGCTATTGATAAAACCTCACTCTACAAGGCCTGCTCAGGCGCGCGCTTGTGGAAAATGACTGACTGTCTCTGCTGGTACTGCTGTTTGCGCCTCTTCTTTTTGTCACACTGGCACAGGAGCAGCATCTTGAACGTGGTTCTGAATGTTTTGTTGCACAGGGCATAGCACACGGGGTTCACGGTGCTGTTGATGTAGCACAGCCAGTAGCCCAGATTCCAAAAGGTTTTGGGTATGCAGCTGTCACAAAAGGTGTTCACCAGAACCATGATATTGTACGGGGTCCACGTGATGATGAAGGCAAGCAAGATCGCACTGAGGGTCTGGGCTGCTTTCTTCTCCTTGACGAGGGACATCCTTTTCCGCTTAGTGATCTGACTTCTGGTCTTCAGAGCAAACCTCTTGGCCAGAGTGGCTTCTTTGAAGGACAGAGGTAGAGTGGCCGTGGTCTTACCCACTGAAGCGTTGACATCGGAAGTCTTGGCTGCGTCCACGGCTGACTCTAACTGAATGGGAAGCTTGGAGAAGCTTTTTGGAAAACTGCCTCCATCGTCCACGCTCTTCTGGGTCTGTAGCTTGCTGGCTTTCCTCTCCAAGTCCACCATCCCCAGCTCCTCCTCAGGCACCTGCAGGTTGTCCGATGAGGGTAACTTGGTGGAGTTGAGGATGGTGCTGTGACCCGGAAGCTTGAGCACGATGGAGTAGATGGCTCTCGTCTCGGAGCCAATGTCCTCCTCGTCGGAGGAGGCGGAGTTCTCCAGGGAGGCAGCAGCATCGTTGTTGTTCCAGCTGTCGCTGCTGCTGTGGTCTTGGTCCATCTGCTCGGAGCTGGGTTTCCAGCTCTTGGTTGTGAACCAGAAGTGGCAGCGGCCATACTTCCTCCTGTTGGAGCGTTTCATGCTTTGCTGTTGAAGCTCATAACTGCTGCAGCTTCGAGAACTGCCTGTGGGGTGGACAAAGTTTTCTGTCTCTGCCTCTGTCCCAGAGGCTTGCAGCCCAGCAAGCTCTTTGGTACGCTTTTCAGTTTCCTTATAGATTCTCCAGTATAAAATAGTCATAATGGTGACAGGCATATAAAAAGCAGCAATGGCTGTGCCAAAAGTAATGGTGGGCTCACTGAGGAACTGAATGAAACACTCTCCTGGTGGCACAGTTCTCTTTCCAACAAAGTATTGCCAGAACAAGATGGCAGGGGCCCAAAGGACAAAGGAGATGACCCAAGCCAGACCGATCATCACACCAGCTCTCTTTGTTGTTCGTTTGGCTCGGTAGGTGAGCGGCCTCGTGATGGAAAAGTATCTGTCAAAGCTAATGACCAGGAGATTCATAACAGAGGCATTGCTGGCCACGTAGTCAATGGCAAGCCAGAGGTCACAGGCCAAGTTCCCTAAAGCCCAGCGATTCATGATGATGTAGGTCGTAAACAGATTCATGGAAATGACTCCAATAATCAGATCGGCACAGGCCAGGCTTAAGAGGAAGTAGTTGTTGACAGTCTTCAGCTGCTTGTTGACCTTAAATGACACAATAACCAGGATGTTGCCGATGATGGTCACCAAGGCCAGGATGCCCGTTAAGAAAGCAATGAAGACCACCTGCCAGACTGTGTGACCTCCCAGAGGGTCATCGGTGGTATCGTCAGGAGAGGAGAAATTCCCAGCTGCTCGAGAAACATTGTAGCTGCCGAAATGAGTGGCGGTTCCCGGGGGCAGCCCTGCATCGGAGGGGCTGTGTATCCAGGAAGAGCTGATGTTTGGAAACAAAGGCGAGGTGGAACTGTTATTGTGCAAGGTCATTGTGACCCTCTGACATAGTCTGGGGGAAAAAAAGAGAGAAAAGACGGAGTTAGAAAAAATGCTGCCTTGTTTCGTTTGCTCTTTGCATTGCATACGTTAAAAGACATGAGAGGTCTATTACAGGATGCTGAATCTCTATGAACCCAAATGTTATCAAGTTCATTCTCTTAAGTGAGTGGAGTCTAGGGCAGACAGAGATTGATTTGTTTGAGACAGCCTTATATAACTGGTAGCATGCACTGAATATTGTACTTTTCCCTACATTTCTAAATAGATTCCATGTAATTCCGTTACCAAACAAAATTACCTTTACTTGCCTTATTTTGTAAAGGTTAAAAATATCAGACATTTATATTACAATTATCCAGACAGCTTTATCATCATGATAACTTGATGACTTGATTTGCATTTTATCTATCTGGGCATCTACCCATCTGAGGTTTCAGAAATATACAACTTTAAGGTGATACCAGCAATTTAAGCCTCACTAAAATGAACAATGCCAACCTGGAGAAGGGATAAAACCAATGGAAACCCATTCAGATTATGTTATCTATTTGAGACAGGATTGAAAAAGTGAGATATCAGTTCCTTGTAAGGACTGGTAACACGACTATCTCCCAGGCAGCTATCTTCTGCTGGATAACGTGCAGAAGAACTTTTAGCAGAATGTTTTGAATGGACCAAACCAGTTTTAAGTATTTCTAGTATTGAGATAAACACTTGTTACTAGAGTGTATGAACCACTAAGAACCATTACAATTAAGGTGTGGCCAGTAAAAACCCCTCGGTGTCCCTGCTGGCCTTGGTGGCGACCTGTACCATTCTCTCAGAACCTCCAGGGCAGGACACAACTGGCTCAGGGGTTGACACAGCGCCAGCCACTGTAGACTAGATCCAGCAAATCGTTCCTCAGTCAGTTTCATTCCATGAATTCAGTTTGATCATCCCAGCAGAAATCTATTGTGTACCCTGCTATTGCATTTACACTCTTTGTTAAAAAAAGTCTTCAACTATAAACTCTTACAGATAAACACATATATCCATGTGCATTGCAGGAGTCCTAAATCAAGCCTTAAGATACTGAATGTCAGAGTTTTCTCAGAGTGTCTCTGAAAGCAGTAGTCAGATTCACACAGAGCCTTCTGGAAAGGCCTTCTGATGTACAAGGAGGACTACGGGGTCAAAAGGCCTAGGTTCAAGTCTGTTTGATCATTTACTGGAGGTGAGATCTTAGATAGTTAACTTCTTTGAATCCAAGTTTCCTCATTGACAAATAGGAATGATAATTTTCTGCATAATAAAATCAATTGTTGATAAATTCTTTCCAGAATTCAATAATAAGTGACCAAAGAAGCTTTGTTTCTCATCAAAATGTTTTAACATATATAAATACTTAGAACAGGGGCTGATATGGTAAATGCTGTGTAAGTATCTGTGATTATTATCTTATTGTGTTTTGAGATGAAGCCTCGCTTTGTTGCCAGGCTGGAGTGCAGTGGCGCCATCTCTGCTCACTGCAATCTCCACCTCCCGGGTTCAAGCCATTTTCCTACCTCAGCCTCCTGAGTAGCCGAACATATAGGTGCATGCTACCACACCCAGCTAATTTTTGCATTTTTAGTACAGACAGAGTTTCACCACGTTGTTCAGGATGGTCTCAATCTCCTGATCTTATGATCTGCCCACCTCAGCCTCACAAAGTACTGGGATTGCAGGCGTGAGCCACCCAGCCTGGCCTATCTTATTCTTTTTATTGAACAATGAACTCTCTTTGCTTTGGCTGCCAGGATGCTCAGAGCTAAATTTAGTGTAATAATAAATGTTAGTAAAAATTATTTGTTGGACATTTACTATGTGGTACATGTACAAATCCATCGTATGAATTGTCTTATTTATTATAATTTTTGAGGCACAGTCTCACCCAGACTGGAGTGCAGTGGTGCCCTCTTGGCCACCTGCAACCTCTGCCTCCCAGGTTCAAGTGATTCTCATGCTTTAGCCTGCCTAGTATCTGGAATTACAGGCATGTGTCACCCTGCCTGGCTAATTTTTGTATTTTTGATAGAGATGAGGTTTTACTGTGTTGGCCAGGCTAGTCTTGAATCCCTGGCCTCAAGTTATCCTCCTGTCTTGGCCTCCCAAAGTACTGGGATTACAGGTGTGAGCTACCGTGCCCAGTGTATGATCTCATTTAATACTTAAATAACCTTATTTTACAGGAAAGGAAGACACATTTAAATAATCTGTGCAAGGAATTGAGTTCACAAGGGGATGTTTGGGGGACTTAAAGAGTTCCACCCAGACAATCTGAACCCACAGCCTCCGTGTCTAACTGTGAGGCTGTGCTGCCTCTCCACCAGCCCTTTCCAGGTGTCCTATACAACTAGCCCCTCCTACCTGGTTAAAAATCATCATACACCTCCTGAAGGTGGAATTGAAGTGCATTTAAAAATTAATGAAATACTCTCTGTCACCTGAAACAATGCCAAAGATGCGAATGATACGATACATTCAGCATTCACAATGCTATGACAAAAGTAATCCATTTTCATGGGCTTGGGATTTCTGTATAAATCGGTCATTTGAAAGGCAATTTTGCAGTTTCTGTCAAAAATGCCAAAATCCATGATCTCAGGAGCTGTCTGACTCTAAGTCTACACATAATACCTATACTGTTAGACATAAACATACTCACACATGCACATATAGATACATGTACACATGTTCACTTCAGTGCTCTTTGAAATAAAAAAATTGAAACAGTCTAAATATTCTAATATAATACTCAATTGCAGAGAGGAATAATACAAAACATTCTGTATAATCTATCATTCTTTTTCCATAGCTGACATCTCCTACATTGCACTAATTTTCATTATAGGAAATTTATGAGACTTTTCTCTTTTACTTTTTTTTTTTTTTAATATTTGGGTTTTATTAGGTGTCAGCTTACACTCAGCTCTCATTCTCCCTCACTGAGTGATGTCTGGGTTTGAGAAGTGTTACAACACTGTTTGTAGCACCCCATTACATTCAGGGTTTCTTCCAAGATGCACGTACAGAAGATCTGTCTGCTGCTCTCCTTCCTTGCAGTTCCCAGTTTACAACAGTTCTGAAGGTGTTTGCCCTGTTATCTCCCCATTCCACCTGTGAGTGTGTCTGTTCGCAAGGACAGATGTGTCTAGTCAGGTCGACACCCTGTATCTGAGGTTAATAACTACTGTTACTATTGGTCTCCTGGGGAGTTTGGGATGCCTCCTAAATGCTCTTGGCCCCATATGCTGATAAGTGGAATGTGGTTCTCTCTAGATTATCATCTTTATCCATGCATTTTGCATTTTGTTTTGTTTTGTTTTCCAGCACCAGACCTGTGTTCATTTCTCATCTACTGTAAAGAGCCTTTCTCTTTCTGCAATCTCCTTCTCTCCTGAGATTCCTGAACATAGCAGCTACGTTTTTCATTTCCACTTTCTAGGTCTCTGCTGCCATGTCCCGTGGGAGTTGATCATGTCCTGTAGTTCCATTTTCGGGTCTTATGACATACTGGTTTTTTTTTTTTTTTCCATGGAGTTTTGCTCTTGTTGCCCAGGCTGGAGTGCAGTGGCATGATCTCAGCTCACTGCAACCTCCATCTCCTGGGTTCATGGGATTCTCCTGCCTCAGCCTCCTGAGTAGCTGGGATTACAGGTATGTGCCACCATGCTCAGCTAACTGGTGTATTTTTAAGAGACAAAGTTTCTCCTTGTTGGTCAGGCTGGTCTCTATCTCCCGACCTCAGGTGATCCACCTGCCTTGGCCTCCCAAAAAGCGCTGGGATTACAGGCATGAGCCACCGTGTCCGGCCGCCATCCTGGTTTTATTATAAATAAACGTCATGCCCAATCATTCCAATGCTTTATTCATACTTGTGCTGACGATACTTCTTTTTTCACCTTTGTTGGCTAAAGCCATGCAGTGGGTATCTATTATTTATCTTTCGTTCAGCTGTCTTTTTGGAAATAGCCTGTCACCCATAGTATGTAGTCTGGGATAGGCATTGATCAGTTGGTCCTGGCTCCTCTACCATAACAATGAACATGAAGAAGACCCAGGCAGGAGGGTTGATTTGGGGGTTTAATGAGGGTGTTGGAATGAGAGAGTAAATCTCTCATATTTGGAACTGCTAGGTGCTGATCACTGTATTTGCCACCACATGGAAAACTTAGAGCAAGCAAACCTAGAGGAAAGGCATGGAGGAAGGAGAGAGATGGGAGGGAGTATGGGAAACAGAGAGAGCTTGATGATGATGATCTTTGAAACCTGAATTTAGCCGCTCAAGATGTCAACCCCATCCCCTTGACCTTGCCTTTCCTTTGTTGCCTGGGCTACCAGAGATACCTTCTGCAATGAAATACACCTGCAATGAAAGGTGTTCCGTCATTGTCAATACCAACACATGCTCATTTAACCACTGCTAGTTTTAGATGATGGCGATTGGTGCTGGGGAATTCAGGGAGTGCACAGCCTCTGCATTTTATAAATTCACTCCTAGGTAAGAGATGGAATAAGAATAAAATATTTTAAAAAGTACAGTTACTTAGGGAATATCAAATTACTGCCTGTGGATAATCGCATTAGGTTTGTATATATTTGACAGCAATTTAATTTGCTCAGTTGATCTATATTATTGAAGAATATAAGTAAGAGTTTTTGAAATTAGCCTAAGGGGTCCATTGTTTTCTTTTAGTTCATTTCATCCTGTGAATCTGTAGAGCCCGCCCTGAAATGAACAGTATTGTAATCCAGTTATGCTTTGTTTGAATACAGAAAATGAAAGAAGCCAGAACTGAGGAAAGACACCTATAGGTGAGTTTAGCTTTCTCTACTGGGTTGAACACCTGTTTATCTTTGACCTGTACAACTTGGCATATCTACCATCGGCCATCATTCTTCTTACACTTTGACACTAATTCAATATCAAATACCTTTGTGAAATTTTGTGCTTTTTGCCATTTAAAAGTGTTCTAGTTCCTTTCT